CCTCACCTCCTTTTTCCTCCTCCTCCTCCTTACCTTTTCCATGTCCTCATCCTCCCCAGCCTCCTCCTCCTCATCCGCCTCCTCTTCCCCGCCCGGCCTCCTCCTCCCGAGTCTCCTCCTTTTACTCAGCGCCCTATACCCCACTCGAATAGGAGCATGTGTGCGCACCCGTCGCCATTTTGGCTCACAGTGGGCTGGTGGTATTACGTATAATATGAGAGGAATAAGGAACGCAGTTATGTCTTACCATTGCCGCCATTTCTCTTATCTTTCGCCCATGCCGCCCGCAGTCCGAGTTGGTAGCAGAGACCGGAGCGATCCCAGCTCTCGATCCATGGAATGCGCAGAATGCGATGTGGACGCGCACTCGCGCCTCCCTTGATGCTCCAACGCTAGCGCCCTCCATTCCTCGAACAGCTTGTGCTGATAGCTGCTCCTCACGTTTCCGCCCTGCCCAGCAGTTAGGGACCGCCCTCGCTCAGGACCTGGTGCGCGGCCTCTCCAGCTTCGAGGATTGGGTTCCAGCCTTCCAAGCGAGGGAGTGAAACGCAAGTTGGCACTGCGCGCGTTGCGTGGTCCACACCTGGGGCGCCCGACCGTCCGACGTGCAGGCCATGTTCGCCAGGGACGGAAGGATGGTCCACTTTCGAGACCCACAGCCCCCGCGGGGAAAAACGCATTGCGGTCAGGTCTAGCGCCAACCTGCTCGTCGCCAGCTCCACGCCAGCCAGTGCCAGCATCAAGGCCGTTGCCAAGGGCCCGGGTCTACGGATGGCAGGGCTGGCAACCAAAATTAACACGAGGACCGTTTGGGGGCCCGCTGGGACAGGGCCAGCGGAATACTTGGACAGGGCCAACCTCCTGGACATGGCCGACGGGAGGCAACGGGCCTCGCAATTGTCCGACCCGGGGGCGAGAGCCCATGTGGCGTTCGAAATTGCTTGGCACGACAATCGCAAGACATCGCTGGGAAAGCGTAGCAGGGCACCGCGGTCTCCAGAATGGTAGCGCAGGCACGCGTCTTCCCTGCCCGTCACGAGGGGGAGCGCCCACAGTAAGGCCCCCCCGCGGCGGGGCAGGTCGGGGGGGGCATGGATCACGGGCCGACGCTCCCACCCCCAGGCGGGCAACGACAGGGCCAACCGACAGGCGGAGTCAAACTGGCTTGCCAGCGGCAGGGGCCAACCTCATGGGAATGAATCGCGGAGCGTTTGTCGAGCTTATTTTTTTAGCGACGAACGCAGTTTTCCTTTTGGCGCACGTTCCCTTGATGATTCAAACCGTCTTTGTGTTCGAAGGGCACCGTCGTTTTGCTTAAACGGCGGATGCGAAAGCGATCGAGTTGGGAATTCGTTCGGGGAAGCATCGGACAACAGTGTTCCCCAGAAGCGTTCGGATATCGTTCGGGGAACAACGTCGTTCCAGACTTCTGTCCGAACGACATCGGACATCGATGTTCCCCGAAAGTATCGAACATGTTTTGGGGAACAACGTCGTCCGACACTTGATGTCTTTGCGCGCAAGATGGCGGAAACAATGGGACCAATGGAAATAACAGCTCTCCTTCAGGGCGCAACGAATAACCCCAACTTTGTGTTCTGGACCTGTAGCTTCGACGGACAACGTCGTTTGCCGTCAATGGGGGATGCAATTCGGATGCAAATTCGCCGATCGAGTTGCGAATTCTTTCGGGAGAAGCGGTCGTTCGATGCCCCCGGCGTGAACAAGTATTCACGTATGTCGGGGAGCATCGAACAAGAGCGTTCCCCGAAGATTTCTCGATACCTTTCGGGGAACGAAGTCGTTCGACGTTGCTGTCGCGTTTGTTTCGGTTGCAACAGGAGTGGCCCGAATACCCATTGCCGGCGGCGTGACGATGCTGCCGCACGCGCGCGGCCACTTGAAAGTCGAACGGAAGATCGCCAGAGATTTCGTTCACTTCGGCGGGAAGTTGCCGGGAACGCAGCAGCTGCGACGTTTGATGTGGCATTGCCAGTTCGGTGCGCGGGTGGAGTGCGGCGGTTGCCTTTTCCTAACGGTGTCGCCGCACGAGCGACGTTCCGCCTCTGTGTTTCGCCTCAGTGGATGCCGACGCAACGATCCTGCTGTCAGACACTGCGAGGATTGGATGCGGGGGGCGGCGGGATCCGAGCACCCTCTCTTGGAACCAGACATCGAGGCCGAGCTGCCGCGCTATGGCCCGAGGCGCGCGGCGACCGCGCAGGGCCCGTGCGCTGTGATCGAAGTGTACATGGCGGAGGTCAAGTTCCGCCTCGTGATGCTCCTCGGAGGCGCGCGCGCGTGCCCGGATTGCCCGCGGTGCAACTTCTGCGGGAAAGGCTGCCAGGACAGGTTCGGCAGCAACGTGCGGCCTGGCGGAGGCGTCATTGTCGGCGTCGCGGCCGTCGGCGGCGGCGCCGAGCACCGGGGCTACGGCGCTCCGCGCCTGCATCTGAAGGTGCGCGTTGCGAGCGTGTGCCAGTTCGAGACGATGCGCCAGATAGCGGAAGGGCTACAAAAAGCCAGTTCACCCTCGAGCAGTTCCGACGCTATCAGGAACGGCCCCATGGCGAGAAAGTGTTCGCGAGGGGGGGGGAGGGGCGCGAGAGACGAGGGCGAAGGGGGAGGTGGGGGCCGCGAGAGACGAGGGATGGCATAGCAGGCGCGCTGGGGCAGAGCACAACTTCATATCCACGACCGCCGGGTTTCCTGTGGTGGATGTCGAGAACATCCTCGGATGTCTCGACGGAGTCGACGCAGGAGATCAAACGCGCCTTGACTCAAGACGGGCAGAACTACGCAAGGAAATTCCGCGCGCTCGCGCAGGCCGTCTGCAGCAGGGTGCGGCGCCATATGCACAAACGGACGAAACATGGTACTTTCCCGTTGAAGTCGCGTCAAAAGAAAGGGGGGAATAATTGCGTCACGTGCAAGCGCGACTTCCTGGAGCAGACGGCAGTCGATGCCGATCTCCCGCGTTCTCTGCTTCTCTGTCGAGGCGTGGCTCGCAGGTCCAACCTGAGGGTGTCTGGGCAGAGGAATCAGCTGGGGGCTTCGTCGGTTGCAGGGGCGATCCATGGCAGAGCGGAACGGCGCCGAGCTTCGCCGCGGCTTTCAGCGGCCACGCCCGCGCGCTGGCGCATAAGCGTCTGCCGCCCAGCGCAGATATCCACGAGGACGAGCATTGCCGGAGCAAGAAGTGCCGCGACAGCATGAGCGATCCGCGCATGCTGAAACATATGGCAAAACTGGCGCACAGAGCTCAGAGGCAGCGCGCGGGCCACTACTGCGGATGCACCTTCAAGGGCCAGCCAGTGGGGGCCAAGTATCTCCGACTGGCAAGCAAAAGCTCGAACTACCTCAAGCACGCCATGGAGGCGGATACGCCCGCGCAGCAATGGCATCGCGTCGCTCGCCGAGCTCCTGTGGATCTGGAGCATCGGTGCCTGCGACGCACTGCGGCCGAGGAGTGGAACCTCGCCGCGAACGTCCACCGCCATGATCACCGGGCCGCGGAATTCCAGCGCACCTTCCGGTCCGTTGATTTCAACGGGCGCGCGTTGCTGATCAAGCGCGAAAGTGGGGAAAAGAAGGACAGCTTCGTGGCGAGGAAGATTGCCCCAGTGATGAAGGAGAAGCTCGACGAGGACACAGAGGTTTGGTTGCAGCACTTCCCAGATTTGTACGGATATCGCGGCAAGAACGACACGAATGCCGGAGTTCGTCTGCTCAGCCCCTGGGAATTTCTCCGTCATTGGGCACGCCGCGAGCTGCCGACGCTGAAGAAAAACGATGCAGATATCGGCACTTGTTGCTTGAGCATGTGGCCACGGCCGGCAGGTCCCGACGATGCGGATCGCAACCGTCGGAATCTCGGTCCGAACACTGGCGCATAATAGGACGCAGCGCTCTTCTATCCTATCATCGGAGACGAGGATGCAGACTTCCAGCTGCGGAGCAAATGGCGCATGAAGAAGCGCGTGCGGCCCATGGCGCCGGCTCCAAACAGCGCGCCGATGCCGGACATGCAGCCCGCGCAGCAGGACAAGGCCAGGGTATATTCAGTGTATCTGCGTCAGCGGGTGCTGGGTCGCGGTCGGGCGACGTCGGACGTGCTGCGCCTCGTGGACCTGGGCCTGCCGACAGCTGGCTCTGGCGACGACCCTGCTCACGCGGGAGAGAAGCCGCAGAAGCGCCGAAGATCCATGGGATCCAAAACGGGCCCGTTGGTTGGCGACTGCGCTCTTGCCCGGAGAAGCTACATCCGCGGCAGCGTCGTGTCCGAGGGGGCGGCGCGGAGGATCGCGCAATTCATGGCCGTGTGCTGCGGGGCCACGAAGGAGAGAGACGACCTCGATGGGGGTGGCAAGGGCGGCGACGGCAAGCCGGGGGACGCGTCGGATCAGAAACTCGCGCTGCAGGGGGCGCGTGAGACATAGGATAAGATGTCTGGAGGTTGGAAGGCGCGGGTAAGAAGAGAGCTTGCGGCGAAGACGTGGGCGGGATGGGCGCGAAGAAGTTCGTCGCCGGCGACGACCTCGATGCGGCGAGCCGAAACCAGCTGCAATCGGGCGCCGTCCACGAGGGCGCGCAGCTAGCGGCGACATTGCGGGCTCGACGCGCGCGCCCGTGGCCCGCGGATCTCGCTGAGGCGGCGCCGACTGGATGCCTCGAGGCGCCTGCGAACGCCGCGAGCGCTCACAGTCAGAAGAGGCGGTCTAAAAGGACGAAGAATTTGCAGATGGAGGCGCATGTGAAATGGGGAGATACCTCTGTGGACGATTGGCTCATGCAGTTGGGTCAAGGCAAGAAGCCGCCGAACAAGAACCAGAAGTCTTTCTTGTCGTGCTCAGTGGAGCGTTGCAAGCAGGAACATCGGAGCCGTCGGGATCTGGTCTCTCGCCGAGGCGGAAAACAAGTGGCCATGAAGGGCGAGCCGCTGCGGCGTTGTCTTATGGGCGTCCCTGGCGCGGGCAAGTCGAAGTGCATTGAGTACGTGAGACGCATGTTCGAAGAATGCCTGGGGTGGTAGGACGGCGTCCAGCTCCAGTTTCTCGCATCTCAGAACACCATGGCAGCGCTCATAGGCGGCCAAACGATCCATTCTTGGGGTGGCAGACCCATCGATACCACGCAAGCCAATGAAAACATGAGAACAAGAGGAACATGCGGCGACATCGTTGAATTATCCCGGAAGGCTCTGGGCATACGATGGATTGTGATCGATGAGGTGAGCGCAGTGTCGCCGTCTCTGCTCGGACTGCTGGGTTCGTACCTGCGGCGATAATGTATGCGACATCCTTGCGCGTGCCGAGGCGCGCAGCAACGCCCGTTCGGAGGCGTCAGCGTGGCGTTCGCTGGACATTTCTGGCAGTTGCCGCCCGTCAGGCAAATCTCCACATGCACGAATCCGTTCACCGCGGACACGTCTACAGAGGAACAAAGATCGCTGAAGCTGTTCTGGATTCCCGGGGGCTCCGCCGGAGTGCCTGCCCGGAACGCAGGGGCGCGGCTGCCCGATGAAGACGAGCCGCGGTGCAAGAACTCGACTTGCGCTACGTTGAGATATGGGAAGTGGGCAGAAATATTTCCACGATGACTCGGGCACATCGACAATTGGAACTCCCGTGCGAACGTGGAGTGCGACGTCTGCTGTGAATGGAACCCGTGTAATACACTCATATATACTCCTTATCCTTACCTCTCCTGCGCCTGGCCGTTTGGGCTCAGGTATTGAGATAGATCGATCAGACCTTGATCGTGCGGGAGGGAAAGATATCCATCTATCCCTCCTTCTCTCTACCAACGGATCAGGGGTTCTGTACCCTTGTACTTCAACCCCATACACAGGTTATCAGCCCTTTACAGCTCACCCTCACCGACTCGCCCGCGGTGACCTCGCATGCGAGCCTGATGGAGCCACTTCGGCGCATGCGCCGCAGGGGTTCCATCGGGGCCTCGCGTCCGAGCTCTCCCACGGCACGACGGCTCGGTGACGAGTTGGAGAGCATTAGTGCGGACTGTGTTGGTGTTCCTGATACCCCCCAGCTCCGAAGGACCCGAGGCGCGACTAGCTGCTGAACTTCACCGCAGCGCCGCCCGCGGGGGGACAGGAGAAGGAGTAGGAACAGGATGGAATGAGTTTCGCACGCCGACCTTCGATCCTCCCTCCCCTTCCCCGTCGGGAGCAATCCCAACCGCGTCAGGCGAAAGCCTTGCTGGTCTCGATACTCCAGGGCGCTTTCGCGCTAACCGCCGATGGACCTCAGGCGCTGGGGCCCCCAGCCCTGCGACCGTCCCTGTGGCGGAGCACGTAGCCACCTTCGAGGAACTCAGTAGACCAGTGTCGGCACAGCCACAGACGCGGTACCCCAAGGTATCATCGGATGAGACACCGCACGCACATGGTCCGAGTCGCAGCTCGTCCGCGCGCAACCGCCGTGGAGCCCCAGGCCCATGCGGCGAAAGTAGGTCGAGCCTGCGCACTGCCTCTCAGAGGCCATGCACTCCCCGCGACAGGGGACACAGGGAAGCTGACGCTCCCCGCCTCTCCATCTCAGACGACCAGCTGGCGGAGACGTCCGCCGCAGGTGACATAGCTGAGCTCAGAGACCAGGTTGAAACCTTCGTGTCCAGGCAATACTCTGGACTACTACAGAGCGTTCAGACGAACGCCACCGATACTGCAGCCATACGACGCGATCTTGACGGCGCCTTAGGGATCATTGATTCCAGGATCGCCGAAGATCGACGCATCATAGGAGAACTGCAGTACCAGGTTGATCGTGAGGTGTCACACTCAGGTGAACGAACGGCGATGGTCGAGAACCTGCGCAACTACCTCGCGCAGATGGAGCAACAGCTTGTGCTCGTACGCGACACAGGCGTTTCAGCAGTCAGGATTTTACATGATGAGATCCACGACCAGCTCCGCAACCGACCACCTCCAGCCGAGGCCACAGACCTTGGCGACGTTCAGTCTCAGATCAATGATCTTCGATCTTATCTCGACCACACTACGGCGACGCTTCGCGCCGAAGCACACACCAACTCGTCGAACCTGATCGACATGTTGCAGCGTACTGAGAGAGTCATCACTCAAAGGCTTGACGCGACCAACGCTGTCGTGCAGCCACTCGCTAACCGGATCTCTGACATAGAGCAGCGTTTCCCTGGTGTACAGGACGCCCTGGCAGAGTTGCGTGTCGGACGAGCCCAGACTGGCCAGCTGGATTCTCCTCCCACGGTTTACGATTTCGCCCGCCTCACTGACAGGTTGCAGGAGGTTCAGAAGGCGGCGGACCACACGCAGTTGGAGCTCTCCCAGGTTATTCATGAAAGGGATACTGAGAAGGTACGTGTAGAGAGTTACCTCGCACGTCTGGAAAGCGAGATGGAGGCACAAAGCGCCCGTCTCCGAGCATACGAGCATCGACTTGATCGGTATTCACAACGTTCTCGGGATACTGATGAGTATACACGCCAAAAGGTGGGTCAAATACACGAAGACATGACGAGCTGGACGAATCAGCTGATCGACCACACTAACGACACCAACCTCCACCTTCGACCTGCAGCCGACCCGCACAGGCCGACGGCAGCGTCCGCCGAAGCACCACAAGCTTCTGCAGGACCACAACGACGTACGTCACCAGGAGCAGCCTCAGCGGCAGCTTCTGCACAGACACGCCATGTGTCTCCTGTGTGCACAGAACCAACCACCGACGGTGCACCGATACCCTCACAACCATTGTCTGCGGTGTCGGTCCATACAACGACTCCTATCAAGGAGTCAGACACCGTTCGAGTCCCTGTCTTGCCTAAGATCACGCAGCTGCTGGAGTGGCAACAAAAAGTACGGAAGAACTTCGGGGCCGCCTCAGGGCGACCATCCAAAGCATACGCCTTCCTATGCGTGGCTGAACAACCCGAATGTACATTCGAGGATTTACAAGACAGTGGAGACTTTGAGAGTATCGATTGCAAACTCGCTACCGCTCTGAGCGACATCTTATCCTCGGACTTACGCTACCAAATCAGGCTCATCGAGACTAAAGAGCACAAAGCAGGACACATGCTCAAAGGACGCCAGATCTACTGGCACATCCTACAGTCCTACAAAGTGACAGAAGTTGACGACGACCTGCACGATTTCGAGCGCCTTAAAGAATTGAGGATGAGAGATGACGATTTGCAACGTTTCATTACCGATTGAGACGCCTTACTCTTGGAATGCCGAGACGTACCCGATCCAAAGATATTGGAATCGCTGTTTCGTACGCAGATTCGAAGACATGTATGGATGAAACAAGACATGTATGAGTACCAGCGTATGAAGATGAGCGACCCGAATCGTACCTACGGTTGGCTTCGGCAGCGTGTCCTGGACATACTGGAGATTAAACAATTGGAGAAGAATCAACACAAGTTACGGTACGAACATGAGACACGATCTCAGGTCAACGTGTGCGCTGCATGGAAGAAAGGCAATTGTCGCAACGGTGAACGGTGCAAGGCTTTGCATACATATTCCAGGGATTGGAAGAACAACACATCTTCCAGAACATCAACGGCTGGTGGCAATCCCCGCCGTAGTATGTCCACTCCTGCGAACCACAAGAAGCCAGCAGCGAAACCATTCTGCTTCGATTTCGCCAAGCGCAACACATGTACCAGAGGTGATAAGTGTAACTTCCCACACGTCGCACAGTGCAAAGATTTCGCACAGAACAAATGCACAACAGGCGACAAATGCAAATACGCTCATCTTGCACCTGGTGCAAAGACTCCTGAACGAAGCCCGAGTCGACCACGGACCTCCAGCCAGGATAGCTTTGGCCGATCACCATCCCGCGGATCAGGAAGCCAACGGTCTTCACAACGCGGGGGGTTTCGCTACGCAAGCGACTCACGACATGGACGTGACAACCGACGCCAATACGACCGATCTCGTTCAACATCTAGGAGGTCCCAAGACTCGCAGTCAATCGAGAAGTCGTTACGACAGATCTTCGAGATCTACCTCCCGAGGACGAGACAGCCGTGGCGGCGGGCGCGGCAGTCCACGCGGCCGTGACAGATCATATGGTAGTGACAAAGGACGTGGCAAACGTTATCCGAGCCGCGGATCGCCCCGTGGTTCACCCAACACCAGAGCACGTTCTCCTGCCAACTTTCGACGTTCACGCCGTTCAGACCGCAGTTACGTCATCCGTGACAAGACCCTCATGGCCAACACTAAGGCCACAGCGACATCTACCAAGACACGTCGTCGGATACGCTTCGACGTGCGCAACGTGGATTATTACTTCCATACCATATCTGGCAGAGCCAGACCGGACAAATGGAAAGAGCTGCCGAACGAGGGTGACATCGTCAAAGTACCAGATCCATTACCACAACGATGGTGGGATGAAAGTGCAGATGCCTTACGAGAATGTCAAAAAGAGGCACAACTATGGTACGACGAGCTATGCGACTACCGACACAACAAAGAGTCGGTGGCCACACCAACTGTGATCCGAAAGTATGACGACACTGTCAAGCAGTCATCAAAGACAGACCAGACGATAACAACGACAAAGCAAGTCGACCCTCCACGTTCGACTGCTGCATTAACAAGGTCTTGGGTTCTCGACAGTGGTTCTGCCCATCATATACAGGGTAAACACGAACTTACGCAGACCGAGTCGGATCGCATATCTATTCGCGAAGAGCATATTCTGGAAACCGCCAATGGTGATCGTACCGTCAATGAGCACTACGACATACGGCTACCCGAGGTTGGCCTGCGTAGTTCAGCCCTTGCTTTGCCAGACTGCCCATCATTACTATCAGTTGGGAAATTAATTGAGGTTGATGGCTTTCGACAGCTTTGGGACCCTGAGCTGGGCTACCTGCTTCAGGATCCGGGGGGCCAATGGTATAAGATTCCAGTCAACAATCGAGTGCCAGAGTTACGACTCGACGACTTAACACGATACCACCACCACGTTTATGC